GTTGGAATGTAAATTGATGTCCCGGCCAAGTCACGGTTTTCCCCCAAAATTTTTTTTTATTTCGTTTATTTATTTATTTATATTAGTATAGCCTTTTTATTATTCCAGTTATACCTGTATATAGTTATTTATTTATAATTCGTCCTGCTCATACCTTGTTTAGGTTTAAGTACCGTGGTAGCTTCGCATATAAACATTCATATATGAGCCGTTGGGCTAGAGTAAACATTAGCAGTTGAGGCTAAAGTAATCATTAGGATGAGCAGTTGGGGGCTAAGGCGTATATTCGGATAATCCATAGCTTAGTAATATGAGCAGTGTGGCTTCGTGTTACCTTAGAATGGGTTAATCACAGGCGAAGCAACTGCTCACGAAAGGGTAAACAACTGCTCACGAAGGAGTAAACAACTGCTCATAAGAATTTGAGCGACTTAATCATAGATAGAATTTATTTAATATAGCCTTCACGAACCAAATTGTATAAAAGGAGGTCCTTTTCGCCTTTCTAAAAAGGACAGTTCGGTATAGAATTATGAATAGAGTTATCTATTAAGTTCTAAATAAATAAATCACTATATATTATAAAAGAAAAAAACATCTCTAAAACTTATCTTTAATTCATAAGTAATTGTTTTCCTATCGTGTTAAATTATATTTATATATAAATATACGCTGGGTCTCTTATTTAGCATAAAGGAAGTAAGCACTGGGCTGAATAGACCTTTCCCTGAAGAAATAAGAGCCGTATATTGTAGAGTTTATATAGTGTAGTACGCTTATGAAAGTTCCCACTTAAAGATATTAATATATCAACTAATTATTTAGTGATTAATTTAATTATTACGAACATTTATTAGTAAAGTCGTGATTACGTATAGATCACTCTTAAATTATATTTAATATTTAATTAAAACCGAAGCCACCCTTATTTCAATCATTCCTTATTACTCTTAAATATCATCCATTTCAATCAATTACCCTTCACCATACTATAATTAGTATATACCGCTATTTTCTATCCTTATGGTAAATAGATTATTAAAACCATTATCACGTTAACTATTGGAGCTAAACCGTGCAACATTATCTGCTCTCCCTATTTACAATAGTAACAGCATGTATAGTCACGATTCATTTCAAAAGTAAAATGACCTTAGAAGGTCATTTAACATTTGTTAATTGATGATATAATACTTTTTAGCCAATCAAACAAAAAAGAAATTTGTATAAAATATAATCAATAATCGTAGCTACATATAAAAGTCAAAATTATACTAAGTTAATCGATATTTATACCTTAAGTAAAGTTGTTCGAAAGAAAAATTACGTGTATCTCGAAAATTTTATATGATTTTAATAACTTTTTATTAAGACATTTTAGTGTTTTACCTTTACACAAAAAAATTTTAAATTTTTTCATATAAAGCTAAAACACAAAAATGTCTTAATAAAAGTTATTCAAATCATATAAATTTTTTAAGATACACGTAATTTATTCTTCAGAACAACTCTACTTAAGGTATAACTTAGTAAATTTGGACTTTTATATGTAGCTACGATCATTAATTAGTGAAATTACAGTGTTTGATAACTTTTTATATTAGATATTTGACCAATAAAATTACTTCATATGAAAATGACCCAAATGACCTGGTCATTTATCCAAATAACTTGGTCATTTAAATTTTGAGCAAATGACCAGGTCATTTACCATCCCTGCGGGTAAATGCAATATGCTTTTGACCTTTTTGAATAATGATCAGGCTTCCCAATGAAAGAGCAGAAGAATGGAATGCATGTGAGAACAATATTGAGAGATTGCGAAATGAAATTCAACAAGTTGCCCGACTCTTATAAAACTGGTTAGCAAATAGGAAACATACAGTAAATAAAATTTTATCACATGGTTTTATTACTGTAAATTTTAAATCCTTATCATTATTTAGACGATTCTGCAGATTTAAATAAATTAAATGAAATCAATCAACCTTTTTCAGAATCAGTGGTAATTCATCGCATTTTTGTTAAAATAAAATACGGTCTAATGATAGATATTATGTTTTAAATAATTTATGTAGTAAATTAAAATAGGTGTTAAAATTTATTGTTTTATGAATTTAAATTATATTTTAGAAGCATAAATAATAACTATAAAAACGATTACGTTTTCCATGCCACAAATACTAGATGGATCTCGTTTCCCTGACAACGTTTCCCAACAGTTAAGGTTGGTTAAAATAAAATATCGAGGAAATAACAGTCTGTAAAACTGGAAAATCCATAATATTAATATGTAACACATTTAATTGCTAGTCGGCTCTGTCTCCTTATCTATGGTGAGTTTTTTCTCTTCATCGATAGCTGACTTTCAAGTGCTCGTATCTCGTATCTCATTAAACTCTAATTGTGGAATGCTATTAGTGACGATTGATGCAATTTTTTCTTCGGAATAATCACGCATGAGGTTAAATTCGTCTATAAAAATTTAGTATATTAAAATTAAAGAATTGTAAGTTTTTCAATTACTCAAATATGTTTTTGAATACTGATACCAACATAACCAATTTTGGTAGTCATTAACATGAAGTGTATTCCATTCATCAGCTAATAAATTAATTAGTTTACAATGTGTCTAAAGCAACTTAAAAAAAAAAAAAAATTAGAATCATACATTCATCGCCATTATTAACACTGTCTACAACGTTTATGTCCACAACCTTATCATCTTTAAGTATATGATCTTTAACAGCTTTTACAGTGATAAGTTTACTTGCAAATTGGTTATTGTTAAAAGTGTATGTCTCATCTGATATTTCCGAATTGCCAGTTATAAATTGGTTTACAATTTCGGGTAAGGGACTTTTATTGAATTCATTAAGCCAAAATAATATTTTTTGATACAGCTCTTTAGTAGTTGGACGTTTATTGGGATCTGCGTCCCAACACTTTCGCATCAATATCTCGTAATCCGGAGGTGTTCCCCCGAGAACTTTCGGACGAAGCGGGTAAGTTTCTTCACATATTTCTTTAATCAAGTATTCGTCATAATTACGATTATTGAAAGGATAATACCCTGAAGTAAGAAACCACATGATAATCCCAATGCTATAGACATCTGATGCTTGAGTATAGGATTCTCCAATTAAAACTTCGGGAGCTATGAATGGAATAACACCATATATTTCTTCAGACTCATTAATATCATAAGTCGGACGACAAAGGCCCAAGTCAGATATAGATATGGTCCTTCTATAATGGAGAAGATTGCCCGGATGCAAATCACGATGAACCAGTCCTCTAGCATGTATATCAGACAGTCCAAATAATATATGTCGTAAAATATCCAACTTATTTACCCAATTTAATCTCTTTTTCATGTAATTTCTTAAATTACCTCCATGTGCGTAAGGAAATATCATAATATATTCATTAGTTTCGGGATTTTTTGAGATACCATAGCAACGAAGTACTGTGCTAGAGGATGACTTGATATAGGCGATGACCTAAAATAATTTTAAGATGACCTAATATACAATAATTTAAGAATATAAACAGTGTTTAGAACTTCATATATTACCTCTTCAAGGAAGTTTTTGCTTATAATTGTTGATTTATTGAGTTCTTTTAAAGCTACAGGTGTGTTCGGATATTGAACTCTTTTGCCAAGAACGTAATCCCAGACGCCAAGTCCTTCAACCCAATCTGCTTTATAAACCTTTGCGAATGCACCCTTACCCACAAATTCAATATTAGAAAACTTTTCATAAGGAATCCATTGTATATATACATTGGGATACTTGATATAAAGCTGAGAATCCCTGATAATTTTATCGAATTCTGAACGGCCAGCCTCCCAACTAGAGAACTGCTTCTGAAACTCTTCACAATCACAAAACTTGCACCATTTAATAAAAACATATTGTTTATTGCATACTGGACATTGTTGTGCTTGTTTACTATATGCAGGAGTCCTACCCATTCGTACCCTATTAATCTGGAGTACTGTTTTATGAAGAATTTCACAATATTCTCTAATTTTATCTTTGGATGCAGTGATGTCTTCTTGATGTTTGTTCAGATTATTCCTTAATTCATTGAAAATATTCTCTAATTGAATTATTGTGTTAGCTCTGCAAATAAGAATAATTATTGATTATTTTGGATAAATGCTTCATTTAAATGCATTTATCAATGACCACTTACTTACTTTGAGAAAAAACCAAAATTGCAACAAAAGAATGGTTTGAAACATTTATAAAAATAGGAATATAAGTGTCCATCTGATAAGTTCAATTTCAAAAGTCGATCAAGGGTTTTTTTCATAGTATCGTTGTTTTTCTGAGTTGAATCCTCAAAAAGCTTTTCAAGCTCATCATACTTTTTTTGAAAATCTTGTATGTCATCTATACAGTTACTCCAGCCAGAAATGAATTCCTGAGCTATGGCGTACTTTTCTTGATAATATTTATAATCCTGACCTTTAGGAGGAACATTTGAGAGGTAAGTATTGTTTACATTTGTTTTTGCGGATTCTAATTGACTTTTTC